GAACATCAGGAAGTAAACCAGTAGTAGATGAATTAAAAGAAGTAGACGAAACAAAGGCCGAGCTCTCAAATTCTCAGTCTAGAGTTGCTGCTTTAGTTCAACGTAACGAGGAGCTCGCTCAATCAGCTTTTGACAATAAGCCATCTACTTCTTTTAATTCATCTACTACTGGTTTACTTCCTGATGTTCGACTTCTCTTTCTTTGCTGTTTTGCTCTGGCATCTCGTAGCCAATTGTTCGGCTTCCCCTGACGCCTGGCTCTGCCCGACAGAGAATCCCACCAAGTGTAAAGTCCCGTAGATCATAGTAACTATATAGTGGTAGTAGCGACCCTATCTATTTCTTTCATCAGCGCTTCTACTGCGCGAGCTTGTGCTAGGGATACGGTATTGCTGAGTCATCTTACGCATGGTATTTAAGGTCTGCCGCAGACGATCGAGGCTTCTTCTCCGCACCGAGATCTCACCGCCGTCCCAGCTCGTCCGTTCGACTCCTCGCCCCAGAAGATCTCCTCCACGATCGTCGCCTCATGGGTCCAGCTCACTTCCAAGGTCCGGCTCACATCTGATACTCGACAACCAATGCGATCTCCTTCACTGTACTAATAAAGTCTACTAATATTCATGTTATTCAACAGCAGCACGCGGGGTCATAAACCCGCAAATATGACTCGGCGAGGCGAGGACGAGCTGGCATCTCAACGACAGTCGATCATCTGCCGATCTCGAGGACGCTCGAGCTTCTTCTCAGTGCCTTCAGGGCGAAGCCCTGCCTCACCCAGAACTGTTGATCTCCTGTTGTCTGTCGTGTCATTGTCGTGCCTATTAGCCTATGTAGTGGATCTTTGCCATTTAATATACTCTTTGTAAACGCCATTTATACGCTGATCTCATATACTTCATTGATGCCTTAAGGATAAACTTTAGTGAATAGACAGTCTTACGACAGAAGCAGGGAATGCAGCTTCCGCGGTGCGCGCTCGCTTACTACTGTCACAACTAAAAGAAAAATTTCTTCGGGCTCAGTGACTTTTTGGACGACTATCACCAGCTGAACATAGCTGTTTCCCGATGTTGGCAATTTACCTTGGTCACGCCGACTCCCTTCGACGTAACAAGGTCAACGCACACAATCGGGCGTACCGTAACCGGTTGAGTTACCCAAGTTTGAAGGTGTTAATAGTTCATATACACGGCTTTTGCATACCCGGCTAATGTACGTTTCATCTTCAACCCCTACCCAAGTGCACACTTAGTGGGTCGGCGCGCTTCGTTGTTGGGAATTCTCCACTAGGGGTCGTAACTGGGCTGAGAAAAAAAAACCATTTTGAGAGTTGATTTTTCTCGCCCCGCGGACGTGGTGAAAGGGGGGGATTGTAATTACTTCCGCT